ATAAAGTTACTGGTCAGATTTTTTTAAAACCTCTTAGAAGAAAAGTTATAGCCATTTAAAAAATTGAAACACTTTGTATAACCGTTGAGTATAGGCTTCCAGCACCATATAAATTACACAATTGTTTATATCACATGTGTATATAAATAGTATTTTAAAAAATTGATTTACATTATTTATCATGCCAGATACACATGGCAGATAAATATGGTAAGTATAAAAGTAAAAGAGGTATAATTTGTATTTTTTTTTATCTGGAGTTTTATTCTTATTTAATTTGCTTTGTATATAAAACTTTCCTGTCTTTACTTGCTCTGCTATTTTAATTGCTTCTTTTAAAGTTTGCAGGTTCTTTATTGCAGTGTACATAGCAATCTCTTGCTTTAATTCAAATATAAATAAACAGATAATATAATTATTTAGTAGTTTATTCCCAAGGTTAGCTTTCTTCTTTAATCACTTAAACTTAACTACATATTTAAAGATGCATTTCACTTGTTTTTGTTCAATGTTATACAACTTATTATATCACTTATTCTTTCTTTCTAGGGTTCTGAAATATCTATTGAACAAGGCTACAAATAAAGTATCTTTGATATTGTTCCAGCTAGTAATTTTACTCTTAATATTGTCATACCAAAAAAATGCATTTTCAAACAGGTAATTTCAATTTTTTAGTTATTCTTTTAGTTATTGGCTAGTACGGCTTTTTCAAATATAGCTACTTATTCAATAAAATATTTATCTTCTATACTATGAAATTAATTAATTTTAACTATATTTAATTTCTTTGCACTATTAGTAACTTCTCTTTTAAACTTATCAGCTACTTTCTTAAAACCATTAGTAATTTGCTTAAGAAGTTGTCTAAGCTGAATAGAATCTATAATGATTTCTTAGATATATTTGGTAATATTTACAGTTGTTTGGTTTATCCTAACACCACTATGTTTATTTTTAGTATCGCAGTTTATACAGAGCAATTCCTTTACTCATACAGAGTTATTTCTACAAATTTGACATTAATTCTTACTGCAAATCTCATGGTTCACCACCAATTGTAAACCTGCTTTACCTTTTGGAAAACAAGATCAATGGTTCAACTAATAACAGGGAATCATGTGAGTACAGATACATAAGAACTGTGCAGTGGTTTATTATAGTTATAAGTATGTGTATAAATAAAAAGATTTATAGTTATGTGATTTGACAAACGAAAGAGTACATGATATGTAGTTTATAGAATCAAAATAAAGAGTGTCCTTTATTAAATACATAGATAATAATGAAATGCTACAGCAAGCATGCCTACAAAGTGGAGTAAAACTCACCCATATATATAATAGAATAACTAATAATAAAAATATATGACATTTATACTATAAACATTCGATCAATCATTTATGCTATTAATCCCATATCTGACATTTATCCCATATCTATCTCTTATGTCATTTCTTCATGTTATGTCCTTTATGCCATAAGTTGCTGATGTGACAGAAATGGCAGATCTGGCATTTTCGGCACAGCACCCTGTGACTTACAATTAACCCATGACTTAAAGGACGTCAAGGGTTTATTAGCAGGGTAACACCAGCCTAATTTCCCCAGCTCAATTTCCTCTGTACGATAAGGATAATTAGAGTAATATGGTGTATAATAATAATACTGGCTATAAGGCCGATATGGGTTTATTGTGATTTTAGTGATATAGATGATTTCTGCGAATGTAAATACTAAGTTAAAAATTATAAATAAAGGCCCTGTTAGCCCTTCGGGAAGAATAACACCTGATTTACCTAATAATAAAGTACCTAAGTCTATAAGCATATACTAAAAACTACATACATTCGTATATTAACCACTTGTCAAATCTAGCACGCCTTTTTTGATTTTCTCTACAAATACTGCTGGTTTGTAACCCGATTGCTGTAGAATGATTGACCAACTGAATTCAGCTTTCTCACTAGCTTGGATTCAATTCATACTTCGGATCAAATCCGAATCTTTAGAAATATTTGCCAGATTCGATCTGTGTGGAACACTAAGCATGCATGATCGAAAATTACAGACAGAGCTTAAGAGCAAGTTCATATAATATTATTAAAATCCATTTAACCTGACTACTAACCAACCAATCACGATTTTGTGTTGTCCCCAAGCTCTGTCTATAGAATTTTCGATATTATTATATTTAAATCATGATTGCTAAATTTTCTTATCAAAAATATATTTTGTTTGAAGTATATAATTTAATTAATATCAACATTTCGATCAACTATAGACTTAGAAATCATCAAAATTCTTTCGGTAGTCTTTTATTTTAGTCTTTGGGTGATCATTGATTAGCCCAGCAAAAAATTCGACAGTAAAAAATAAAAAATTGGGGAATATTAAGAAGTACATTAACAAGCACAAGAAGAAAATTCATAAAAGAAGTAATTGCACAAAATCGGTTTTTCATCTTTTTAAAATTTTTTTACACTGAGCATGATTATGAGCATGATCATCAAGAAATAAAATACATAATATCTAATCGACCAATTAAATACAATATCAGGTATGTCATGCTTAATCTTGTATTCTGATTGGTTAATAATCATGACCCAAAGTAGATGAACGAGATAAATCCTTATTAGCTAGAAGGTTTTTCTATTTGTTTATTCATTTTAATGTAGCTTGCAAGTATAAAATTCATTCATTAGCTTGCATATTTAAACTCATCAATTATTCAATTTTATAATATTGCCTCAATACATTATTTGTTGTTATTCGAAATTTTCTGAATAATAATCGGACGTTAAAAAAAGATTGAACAAATGAATATTTGAATACTTCTTTTTTGACCGGTTCAGAACTCTAAGTAAAACATCAATCATATATCAAAAAATATATATATTGAAGGTATATCAATGTGAATGAATAATAAATAACGACTAGTTTTAGTCAAAAAAAATAAAATTTTCTATCATAAATAAATGCATCGATGTTCTATATGAATTTACATAACTTTCTTTCTTGCAAATACTCTTTTTTGTTTGAAATATATCTCTCCACGTTTATCTCTCAATTCATTTTCAATCTCACTTACCATGTGATCATATTCTTTAAATAAAATCCTCATATAAGGAACCAAAAATTCCTTTATAAGTTTTATATAGTATACAGAATAATTACAAGCAAACTCTCCCAAACCATCACCACCAAGCGGAAGTTTGACTATTTGAGATGATATAAGTTCGGCTTTTTCAGTCATTTGAAGGTAATCTTCTAAGCATGTTATTAAATCAAAATCAATTTCATATTCTTTGTGCCATAAAGCATCTAAAGGATTATAAATAAATTGAGATGATATTTCTAAATATAATTTTTAAAGTAGATAAACATACATGCAGTATTTATTCATATAAGGGCTGGCCCATAAGAATCATTAAAATCAATAGGGAATGAATGTCCAATCTAATATTAAAATTTTCAAATCTGTGAATATCAAATTGTAAAGTTAAAAAAAGAAGCGCTTTTTTCTTACCTCTAACCAACCTCCTGGCTTTAATACTCTAAATGTCTCAAATAAGAATCCTTGAAATTTATTTTTTGTAAAGAAATCTGTTTTATTTCTAGAAAAAACATAATCAAATTTATTGTCGGGAAATGGTAGTATTTGATGAATACCACAACTAATAAATGTAACATTGTCATCATTAGAATCTCATGTGGCAAAATCAATTGCATAGAATTTCGACTTTGGATACTCTGTAGCAACCTAATAATTTAAATTTAAAATTAGTCAATATATATAGTATATAAAAGTTACAAAGTTCATAAAATGGTAATAAATTAAATACTTCAGTAGTCCAAATGCCAGTTCCACATCTTTTTTTTTGTGAATTATTACAATGATAATTTAAGTTATTAAATTTTAATAAAAATAATAATAACAAATAAGAATTTATTTACCCAAATTCCAATACTTTAGCACCAGTTTGCAACTTTTCATGAACTGGAGCGCCGATATTGTCATTAAATGCATATCTAACAGCATGGTGCCTGTAAAAGCTAGCATTTACGAATTCACCTGGATTCTTGATTAGAGAATGGCAAATTTTTTTATTTGTATTTTCTTTATATTCTTTAATTTGTGAATAATGACTCATTGTTAAAAATTTTAATTTAATAAGTATGAAAAATAAACATGAAAATAAATAGCAAATGCACATCGAAATTCTGTGCCAGGTTATGCTAATGTCAATTATAAACTATTATAGTTTGGGTTTGTCTACGCCCAAATCCCAAACTCAAGCTCAAAATAATATCTCAAAAATTTTATTAATAATCTTCATTTAAACAAATTATATATATTTTTCATAATATATTTACAAAATATTAAGATTATCTTTTTGATTTAATTTTTGTTTTTTGGGGTTTGCAGCAAGTATAGTCAATCATAACATCCAATAGACCAATCAAAAATTAATAAATTTTATTTTAATTCTACTATTTTTGTAGAATTAAAATAAAAAAGCTGTTATTGAATTTCATTAGGTGGTTGTTAATATATCTTTATTTAAAATTGAGTCAAGATTTAAAATGTTTATCAATTAGAAGCTATGGCAAATTTTTTAAAACTTCAAATAAAATTATCTCAACCACTACTTAATAGAATTCAATAAATTTTTTTATTTTAATTCTATTGATTTGTAGAATTAAAAAAAAAATTATCAAATTTTATTAGATAGTTATCAAGATATCTTTATTTAAAATTGAGTTAAGATTTAAAACATCTATTAATTAAAGTGTGATGACTTAGTAAAGTGTTTTCTTCCAAATGACAAATTAAAAGTTTAAATTCTTCTAAAACAAAATTTGAATTTATAGTATGTGTTATAGTAACTGTGATTACTTCTGCAAGTTATTAAATTAGGAGTTGCATCAGAGTATAAGTATCTAAAAAATCCTGAACTATTTATATAACACTATTTAAAGAAATACAAACTAGCTATAAGTAGTATAAATTTATAATTAGTTTAATAGATTTAACCACTTGGTAAAGATCTACTGTAAATTCTCGAAATAACACCCAGGGGTAAAATTACAAAATTTGGCCTAAATTAAGCTTAATTCGGACCAAAACTCAAAATAATGCCTATATCGCTTTTTTGAGAATTTACAGTAAGTTAAAAAAGTAATACTGGGTTATATTACCTATAACTCTGGCCACACCAGTGCTAGTGGTATACTAAAAGATTCTGAAACAATACGAGTTATACAAAAAAACCAAAATTGAAACATAAAACTGATAGAAAAAACTTGAAGATTTCTGATTTAGAAGTAGTGAGGATTATAAAGGTGCTACAGAACTAAACTAGACTAAAAACTAATAAACTGGTGAAACTAAATATCAAGATTTTATGATAGAAAATTTACTAACCTGATCACCAAAATTATACTAAAAGAAAAGAACATGTATTCTGAAAGTGTGTACCAAGAGAAGGGAGTTTGTAAGGCACTTAAAGTCTAGACAGGCCAATTTCACTGGGCCAACTGGATTGATAGTTTGAAAATATTAAAAAATTATTTAAGAAAAAGTGGATGTGAAGTGGGTACCTGGGTTCATATAGTCTTAAACCAATAAGAGCAGGAGTATGTAATAGGTACCTAATTAGGAAGATTGGTGCTTAAAAAATAACTGTAGTACAGCAGCACCCTAAAATGTAACATAAAATACAATTACAGTATAGTAGATTAATATATACTAATTAGGAAGTTTGTTAGATTTACTTTGAGGATAGTTAAGTGTTCTAAGATAGAATGCAAAATCTCAATTAAGTAAATAGCAAAATCTAATATATAAATACCCACAGGTTAGAGGGCTGATAGCAGTAGTTAGAACTAGATAGTTTAAATAAGCAATTTCTATAGTTAGATGCAGGTATGTCAGATAGTGTGAAACCCTTAACATAGCACTAAGGGCAGTGTTATTTATTATTTGATTTTTTTTTATCAGAGACTTACTCCCTCTTCTAGTTTTTAATATATAAATTATCAGGTTTTATATATAAAATTTTAATTTTTTTGACTTCCCTTTTAAAAAATTATCAGATATTTGTTAGCTTTTTAATGCTTTGAGTAAACTATTTAAATTTTAAATTAAGCACCAAAAGTGCATATGTGGCTTAATATAATTACACTATAAAATGTTGTCTATACTTTAATAAAAAGTTCTCCAGGCTAATAAGGTCACTTTAATACTAAAAAAACTAATATAATAGACTTTATTTAATTAAATAATCCGAATTTTGCTATTTATTACTACTACTGTAAATTCTCGAAATAATGTCTAAGGGTAAAATTGTGAAATTTGGTCTAAATTAAGCTTAATTCAGGCCAAAACTCAAAATAATATCCATGCTTGTTATTTTAAAAATTTATAGTAGTAATAATTACTAGTGTTGCTATATTTCAAAACTATACTAAGTAAACAGAATTAGATATTTTAAATAAAAATGTTCAAAACTCTTAAAAACTTTATAAAAATTAAAATTAAAACTTTATATTAGCTTTATATTATATTATATAAAAAAAACTTAACTTTAATAAATCTTAAGACTAGTGATGATTACTACTAGTAATATATAGTAATTTTCAAATAATAAATACAAAATATTATACAAAAATATTTTATATAGTAATATAATATTTTGCAGTTACAAAAGCAAATTAGCTAAACTTAATATAAAAAAAGCAAAAAAGTATTTTTTAGTCTATAAACTATTAAAATAATTTAGAAGTTAAATAAAAAGTATATTTAAATAGAACTTTAGATATATATTTTTAATTTAATAAGTGATTCTTTAGTCACCTAGTTTAAATTTTTTTTTTTATATATAAATTTTATTATAAGTATAAATATACAGTGCTTTTATCTAAATTTTTTTTTATACTAAGTAAATTACTCTTTGGCTTCTAACAAAAGTTGTAGAGCTTATTAAAATATATTTAATATTGTAGGAATATTAAAATTGGTCTAGTAGTTGAAAAATTTTTAAAAAACTTTTTTTTCACATATAAAATTTCTTTAATTTTTTTTAAAAAAATTTTATTTATAAAAAAAAGTTTTTTAAAGATTTCTCAAAAACTACTAGGCCAATTTTAATATTCTTACAGTATTAAATACATTTTGATGAGCTCTATAATTTTGTTAGAAGCTAAAGAGTGATTTATTTAGTATAAAAAAGGTTTAAATAGAGGCACTGTATATTTGCACTTTATAGTAAAATTTATATATAAAAAAAAATTTTTGAACCAGGTAACTGGAGAATTGGCTATTAAATTATATATTATATAATTTAGCAAAAAATTTCAAAATTTAAGAAATAAAAAAATAGTTTTTTGTAATTATTTTAACAACTAGTAGTTCAATTTGGATAAATATTTTTTAAAATAAAAACTTTTAGTGAAATGTATCTAACAAAAAAAAATTTATTTATTTTAAATTTTAAAATATTTAAAAATAGTAAATTTTTAGTTTTAGCAAATTAGATTAGTTTTGTTTAAATATTTAAATTTAATTTATAAAAAAAATAAATAATTAAACTTGGCAATTTAAGCTATTTTTTTATGTTTTATAAAAACTCATTTTTTATAATCACATTAATATAAAACTTAACTATAATATAAACTAAGAATATAAAGTTGAGAAATATAAATTTAAAACAAATAGTAATAACTATAACTATATAATAATTATTAAATAAAATTAAAGATTAGTTTGATATTAAAGCAATACTAAAAATTGGTTTGATTATATTTTTATTAACTATTAGTGTTTTAAAATAAGTTTAAATATTTATTTCTTGTATTTTTTATTTTTTTTGTTTTTTTAATTGTAGTATATTAGAATTATTTCTTTAATAAAATTTTGGTTTGCTGAAATTTTGTCTATAACAAGATCATAGTTTTAGATTTAAAATTATCGAAATTTTATTGTAAAAACTACTGGTACGTATTAATTTTATTATAGATAGTTATTTTTATACATATCAGTTTTTTTCTCGTTAAAATTTAGAACTTCAATAACCAATAAAATTTTTGGGCTGATCTACAAAAATTGGCCAATCAAAATAAAAGCTCGCTATGTATTTAAGATTACAATCATGTGAAAAATGCCAAACCAATAATTATTATAATCTATGAAAATGGCATTCCTTAATAAAATGGTATAAATTACATTTATACTATAAAATACAGAAATATATGGAATTTTATAACGCTATTGATCGATCACTCTCATATATTATGAATATATATATATTCATAAACATATTCGAATTAAATATAATGTATTACAAAAATATTCGAAAAGTTGGTCAAAGTTGACAACTATATATTGGAATTTATGAGATAAGTGCTATTTTTATCCGTCAAAATTAAATGTAACTGTGCCGAAATCCCGTGAATAAGTAATAAAGACGCCACAAATATCGAGCTAAGAAACATTCGACTACCGTATGAGTAATAAAAAAAATGGCAAAGGTAAATAACGACAAACAATGATTTGCAGTGCGTTGTGAGGAAAGAAGATTGTATCGTGAATGAGTCGCAAAGGATTTAAAGACCATGACTGATCCTTAGAGCCCCTTCCTTTGTGAGGGATGCAAACAATCAAAAAGTCTTTTTCTCACATTATTTCTTCAACTCGTATTGGTAAATCATTACATCACCAAATTACGAATACGGCAACTTTTTTATCGGGATTTGGGATTTTGCCGATATTTAAAAATTACAATATATTAGTCATATGATGAAATTTTTTCATCGGAGTCAATGTCACCTTCATATGGCGGCAAATATAATTGCTAAGCCCCAAACTAAGTCTCGGGACCAAATTGCCGTAATGTTTCAATCTTATATTTTTTTATCCATCTCACTCCGTAACATCACATAGAATACTACAGAAAGAATCATGAGTCTGGCAAGGTGAACGTTAATCAAATTTATTATAAAAATTTGTATTACCGTTATTATAGCAGTCTTAAAATGACCCATTTTCACATCGTAGATCAAATTATGACAAATTCAAATATGCTTGCAAGATGGTGTAAGAGATAATATTTCGTCCCTAAAAAAATACGCAGAGTAGTTTCGAGATGATGTCAACGCATATCCCGACATTATGTACAGTATATACATAAAATATTAGCGAATTTATAATATAGCAATATTTAAATATATATATATCAGATATAGTTAATTAAAATACATGTTTGAAACTTTCACAAATAAAAAATTCAAGTTTTTTTTAATTTTTTTTTCATATTAGGCTAAAATACTATATGTAAATGTAACCATAAGTATACATTATTGGGCAAAAATTTGTGAATAACGGCAATTTGGCTCAACCGGACAAATGATATTGGCTGACACTTGTCAGCCAATCATTTGTCCGGTTGAGCCAAATTGCCGTTATTCACAAATTTGCCCATTATCCGATAATTTATGATCATGATTGGTAGGGAGTCACTCGCTGAGTTTGTTTTTTTTTGAATATAATTACATCGTAACACATGAAAAAAAATAACAGAAAGAAAGTTTTTCATGATCATAAGAGTTTGTCGGATAATATAATGTCTGTCCACTGCAAAAAAGAAGTTAAACGAAATTATAATTTCAACCGGCTTAAAGGTAAAAAAAATATATATATTAATGCATTGCTTGCTTTCTATAATTCCGCTTTTATTATACTGATAGAAACTCTGGGTTAATTCCTATATCACTGCGTTAGAAGCAAGAAAATGTGCAGTGTGTAATTGGTTATGCGTTTACAATCTTAAAGAGGATAAGAGTTTTCAATAACACATTTGCCCATTGCTATCATCTTTTGGTATTTTTAATTTGCATGAATTCAAGTCATTATTTTGCAAAAATCATCCAAACTACTCAAGATCAGGATGTATTGGTAACGTTCGTAATCTTCTTATTTTGTTGACCTTGAACTCTATGCTGCAATATATCCATAATTAATTTAATATACTTTTGTAATATTTTGAATTTTATCTATTACTTACAATATAAATTATTTTCCACTTGTTTCACGCATGTAAAGTAAATTGTCGGATATAATAATGTGACTGTAATAATGTGACTGTAATCATACTCTTATAGAATGTTAATTAACTTACAAGTTTTCTTTTTAGCGCCACTCTTATAATTTTATCTCATTAATTTTTAATTAAACTATTGAACAGGTTGAGAAGCATCATTAAGACTTTTAGATTTTGAATTAGATGTGAGTTTTGAACTGAAATACCAAGCATCATTGCTTGTGAAATACGTATTGAAAATCATGCATTGTATATATAACGATAAAGTATAAATTGATATTCCGATCATTACGTATAAAACGTGACTCGTACGTACTGTACATATTTGATATCAGATATGTAATACCAGATACGTTATTGTTACTTTGTACATCCTTTTTATCTACTACCTACGTACCTACAGTACCTACTTGGCGATAAATTCAATAGACAATTTTGTTGCCATTAATGTTATTGAAAAGTGGTCAAGAAATTGAAAAAATCCAACATCATTTTAATGAAATAAATGAGAGGATTTCTCAACAAGAAAAAGCGATTATAATTATCGGTGATACAGGGGAGGGAAAAAGTACTTTATTGAACTATTTAACTAGAGTTCCCTTGTTTAGTAAAGATGATGACTTTGGTGACTATATTATTTATACCGAAACTTCTGATGGTATAAATATTAATGATAGATCTATTTCACAAACCACTTTACCATTACGTCGAGGAATATATTGGGATTGCCCTGGTTTTGGTGACACACGAGGTCCTGTACAGAATATTATAAATGCTTATTCAATTTATAAATTAGTCAAAAGTGTAAAAAAATTAAAAGTTGTAGTTGTCGTTTCTGAATATGTAATTAAAAGTACAAGGAAAAAGGAATTCTTAAATCTTATTAATAATATAGGAGAAACGTTTAAAAATACTGATGATTTAGTTCAGGGATTATGTCTAGTTATAACAAAAAACAACAAACTTGACGCTAGAAAAGTAAGACTTTGTTTCCATAAAATACTTGAAGAACAAGGTGATCAGGAAAATTTTAGTCAATCAAAGAGAAAAATTCTCAATTTTTTATCTTCTTCCGAAAGTCAAATAGTTTTTTTTAATGCTCCTCAACAAGAAGGTAAAGTTTCTGATACCGACAAATCATCAATTTTAGAGAGTATAGAGAAGATTTCTTATTTGAAAGGATTAGATCCTAATATTCTTCTTGATGATGGTCCAAAACTTTATATCAAAGATTTAGTCGAAAAATTTCATGTAGATATAAAAAATTTTATCTTGGTAAAATTTTATCCAGCTGTTCAAAGCTATCTTGAAACATTAATCGATACACATTTAGGCACAATTAAAGAATTGAGAAAATCTTTAACTGATGTTTCTGATCTATTGATGAATATACATGAGAAACCACAACATTTTGATGATAATATTCAACAAATTCTCTTAATCGTTGAATTTATACAAAGAATTGATCTTAAAGAAGAACTTTTGAAAAAATTTTCTTTATTCAATTTTTTTAATCTTGTTAAACCGGTGTCACTTGAAATTAAGGGAAATACTAGTAGTTGGTATAATTATATATCTGAATTAATTAATGAAATAGATGCACTTACATCTTTTAAGGTATATAGTCAAGAATGTTTGTTAACACTTGAAGGTATAATCATTGGTACTGAAGATCTTAACACTGCTATGAATGATCAAGAAATATCCGAAATATCTGAAATAAATGTGTTTAGTTTGAATAGCTTATTTATTGACAAGGATATAATTGCACCAGGAGTTAATCTGGCTTTGATATCTCCTAAATTCCGAGTTATAGGTAAAAGAACAATTAATTTAAAAGGTAATTCGGGTCCTTTACACCAACCAAATAAAGCAAATGATGGAATATCTTTTACTAAAGATCGAATTTATAATGAAGTTTATGATGAAGTAAATGATAGAATATCTACACAAATTATCGATGAGATAACTTTTACCAAAGAAATAATTAATGATGAAGCAATTAACGAAATATCATCCACTGAAGAAATAGTTGAAGAAATAATTGAAGAAAAAATAAATGGAAAAGACGGTTTACCTGGACAACCTGGATATAATGGTGGGAATTTTTACGCTAAAGGGTGTATCTTTTTTGATCTCTCTTCCTTAACTATTATCGTTAGTGGCGGAGATGGTGGTCAAGGTCAAGATGGTGGTGATGGTGCTAAAGGATTTAATGGTGTTGATTGTCGTGAAGATTTTGTAAAAAATCAAGAAAATTTGGCTCTTATTTCAAGAGAAAAAATACGCGCTTTATCAAGTAAAGGAAATGAAGAAGCCGGGGTTGTCAATAAAGCATTAGTATGTACTGTAAAAGCTACTAAATATTTGTTTACTTTTAATGATAAGCATGAAGAAACATATGAATATTTTGATCCAGGACAAAAAGGGGGAAACGGTGGAAGAGGAGGAATAGGTGGTATTGGCGGAAAACCTGGTTCTGTAATATTTGATAGTCCATCTCAATTGTTAGAAAATCCTATTATAGTTAAAGAAAGTAAAAGAGGTGCAAATGGAAAAAGAGGAAATGCAGGTCATGGTGGAAAAAATGGACCAAAATATCGTGGAGTATATATTAACGAAAGAGTATTTCCCGCATTGAGAGGCTACAAAGAATTTAATTCAGAATCTAATGAATCCGATTTATATTCTACTATGCCAGATGGAGTATTAAACTCAATACGAGCAGTGCCTGCAGTATCATCAGCAGTTACAAGTCATGTTTTAAGTGAATCTGTTAAAGTATCTGCTAAAGAATCAACTAAGCAAGTAGCAGCTAGTACTTCTTCTTACATAGCATACATAGGAAATATGGGAACAACTTTAAAGCAAGGAGGTAACTATTTAATAAAGGATGTGTTAAAAATTGGTGCTTCCGAATCAACCAAACAAGTAGCAACAGTTGGTACTTCAACTTACGTAGGAACTATAGGAAGCTTTGGTGCTTCTTTAGCAATTCAAGCAGGATGTTCTACAGCAAGTGCATATCTTTCAAGTTATTGGAAAGAAGAGCCACATAAAATAAATAATGATGATGAATTTGCTCCTGACGGTGAATTATTTGATGAGTTAAATGAAAATAATATTAAAACTCCCTTTGATCAATTCCCACTTGCAATAAAAGAAAAAGAAAAGGAGAAGCTATATAAGCAATTTCATGATAAAAGCAAAAATAATAAATATGTTAAAGAATTGTTATATTTAGAAAGAACTATTTATTAGTATACTATTTAAATAGGTAAAATATAAATTTCTTTCATCTAATATTATTAAATTTTTATCAAAGACAAAAATTATTTGTTTATTAATTTTGTTTTACTTTTGCACACCTGACTAAATTGCTATAGTAATTCATATAGTTTCTTTATATTTTATATATCAGATATCTGTTTTTTTTTGTTTTTTTTTAAAATTAGCTTATCACATAAAATATTCTTAAATAATAAATAGTTGAAACTATTGTTTGTTACAATTTTCTATTATTGGGATTTTTTTAAAAATTTGTTGCACAATCATGATTATTCAGCTTGTGAAAAAAAAATCGTATATCAACATTGGTATTTTAGCAATTCATAAAAATTTCTCTTGAGTTTGGTTGGTGAAAATATTGCATTTGCAAGATTCTGCATATTATCAAAAAAAAAAAGAAGTTATTACTCTAGAAATTATATCTGTAATAATTGAAGTTAATGATAAATTTTTTTAAAAAATTATAAATATATAAGAAGTCTCTTAAGCACAATTAGTGCCACAATATTTTTTTTTTTTTTTTTTTTTTTAAATTCGGCAGTCATGCTTTAACTTTATTAGGCTTTGTACGAACTCTATAGACTCGTAAAATTTTACACTAAGTTGCATTTTAGAAGATAAGTGATAAACTCTTAACTTGTCAGCAGATAGCGTATGAGAACTATCTCTAAACGACAAGCGCCGTAGCATTAAACCTAATGTTACCTAAATTACAAGTTA